CTCTTTTTTAGGTTAATCCCTTGTCGAATTCCTGATCAGGAAAATGATTCTTTATTTTTAATTTAGCATGTTCAACATTTCTTTCTTCTAAGGTGACTATAAGTTTCCAAAACTGCTATTTTGCGTCCTCCGCACTGAATTTATAATCAATTGACTGGCGTGAACGGCGGTAGAACAACAGAAATCAAAGAGCGATTCAACATTAATTTTAGAGAAACCTATTTCTGTCTTCTAACGCGATGATATTCATTGGACTACTAAAAGTTAGTCGAAAAGATGCTAACCGAATGTTCAGATCTTCCTTTGCCGTATAGCCATTGTTGGGCAGGCGAGTGATAAAGTTAGAGTCGGGATTCAGATGACAAGAAAGTGGATTAAAATAATTCGGGCCGTTCAACAGGATTAAATAAAAATGTTTTGAAGACGTTCGGCGTCGTGACTCAAGGGACCATGAGAAAATTCATAAACTGCTGAATTAAAAGAGCTGTCCCTCAAGCGATTAAAGGGAGGAGAGATTGAGGTGTCTTGTCAGCCATCATAGAAGCAATAAATAAGAATACAGATTAAGCTACAAAATTCAGAGTACTTAGATTAAGGGTATACTCTCCCTTGTCGAGCAAATCTTTCGAGGTAGCCTAAAGCCATTATTAATTTGATATTTTTTGTATCCGCCAGAAGTTTTTGGACTTGCAAGGTTAGTTGAATGATCAAAAAGCTTCGCGTTGTCTATTGTACAATCGGCTGGTAAACTAATATTTCCATGCATTCATTACCTTCTCTTCGGCAATCCTTCGAGTAAACTTGTACTCGACAAGGCTCAGGTCAGGAGTGGTCCGTCTGGTGGGATTGCGGGGACCAATATCGATTTCTCGAATTGAAATTTCAGCTCCTGCAGCTTGAAAGAGGCTAATACATAATATAGTTGCGTCGGAAGCTGACCCACTAGCTTTTATTTCAGGGAAATCAAGGATCGGTACGTTATGTTGGCGTTGAATCAGCTCGACGGATTTTCCTCTTCAACTCGTCTAGTCAGGAAATTCAGGCGAGACCAGAGCTGTTGCGCACTTTTGTCCGCTTCCTACGAGGGTGTTTGTACGAATTCCATGGAATTGCAGGATGTTCAGAGTCTCCCGCCGAGATAGCGGCAGCCGACGCACTTCGCCGCCATTGCTGAAGACATTAGCATCGATCATGCTACGTTTAGAAGAACTCTGAAAATCTTCAAAAGTTTTCTCCAGGGCAGCAATTTCAAATTTAGGGCTGTCATTCTCTTTTTTTAGGCGAATTAACAGACGGATTAGGGATAGTTAGACAGAATCATTTGAATCAACGCGGAGCGATCAAAAGTGCGTTCGCACACTTCGCGTGCATGAACTTTGTTTGGTATGAACAAGAATATCATTTTTAATATTGCAGGTGTAAACTCAGTTTTTTAACTTTTCTTGGAAAAAAATTGGTATGGATCCATTTACCTGTGACATTAAGTTGAATTACGCTCGAATTTTGATTAGTTAATTCTATCGTATGATCTGCTGCAGCATAAACGCATAGGTTGCGTCATCATTAACATACTATTTTTCGTTGTTATCATATAGAACAAAAGGAATTTATGTTGCCATGGGTCTACTCGGTTATATGTTACAGAAGATTTCAATATGCGGTAAGAACATCAGTGAAACTCTCAGCTTCACCTCTTATGCCACTATTTTGCTCTTACAACATTTTTAAATTATGATGATAAACTGATTACCCCAGAGAACCAGGAGCTCAAGGAAAAGTGGATATCCTTATATCTTGCCACGTATGAGAACTGAACGTCATAAACGCTGTTTTGTAAACAGATGCCTTTTCAGTTTTATCTAATAGTTTTTCATA